TAAAAGGATTTACCAATACATTTTATAATAAAAATACTGATAATAAATTAAACAAAAAACCATATTATGGAGATACAACATTATTATCACTAATAATTTTTCTAAATAATAGTTTTTTAGAGAAAAAGAAGAAACTGAACTTTTTAGCCACCCTAAATCCCCTTACCCTTATACAATAAAATCTTATATTATTCATAAGAATAAAAATGATTCATTTTGTTCCATTATCAAATATAATAAAAAAATAAATAAAAAATCCTTGAAATTATTAAAATGGCTGTATATAACAGATTAAATTTCTTAATATCATATACAGTATTACCCAGCTTAACGCGGTTTCGCTTAGCGCGTTTTACCGTATATGCGGTGCCTCGCCAGAGCCGAACTTTCACTTAACGCGGATTTTTTCAAAGTATACGCGGTGAGTGTCCGGCTCGAGAGCTATTTTTAGATTCGCCCCACCCCCCACCCGCCACCCTGCTTGACTGCCTGTTTTAGCTCATAAAATTCATACAATTTTACCAGGCCAGAATATAATTTACATTGCTGGAATTCTTACAATATGATGATCATTTTGAATATAAACATCATAGATTTTGCATTAGACATACAAATTTTAGATATAATGTTTACTCTGAGTAAATATGTTATTTTTTGTGCAAAATATATGACATTTGTATTCAAAATATTCCTGGTCTTACAAGGAATCCAGCAATGTCAATTATATTATCCTAACTTTAGTTTGAGGTATTATTTATTACTAAAAAGGTAAATATTCTGGTTTTCCCACACATCTGTAGGGACGGTTGGTGGGGGGTGGGGGGGGACCGACCGACCATCTGTTACCATGTTAACTGAAGATATTTGTTTTAGCTCATAAAATTCATACAAATTACCCGGTCAGAATATAATTTACATTGCTGGAATTCTTATAATTTGATGATCATTTTGAATATAAACATCATAGATTTTGCATTAGACATACAAATTTTAGATATAATGTTTACTCTGAGTAAATATGTTATCTTTTGTGCAAAATATATGACATTTATATTCAAAATATTCCTGGTCTTACAAGGAATCCAGCAATGTCAATTATATTATCCTAACTTTAATCTGAGGTATTATTTAATACTAAATGTTAAAATCTAGTTTTTTCACCCACTCTTTCTCTTGAAGGGAGGGTTGGTGGGAGGTGGGGGGGGGAGGGTTGGGATGGACTGACCATCTGGCTGGTTGGAAGAGGGGGGGAGGCAAGGTGGGGTACTTTGGTTGAGAAAGATAGTGTAGTGAAGAATATTTTTTTTTATTAACTGAAGATACAGTAATTTATTTATATAAATATTATTGCTGTTTATATAGGGTTCAAATAATTTATCTATTTGTAATTTTAATTCTAAAAAATTTAAATTTTGACCTTTAACAACTATCTCGAATAATAAATTTAATACACCATCATCATCAAATTCCAAATTTTTTAATAATATTAAAAATGACATAAAAAATCCGATACTGCTGCAGTAGCAGTAATTGCTTTAGAGCCTACTACTAATACTACTACTACTACTACTACTACTACTACTACTGCTGCTAGTTATATTGACCGGGATATAAGTAATACTAATGATAATAACAATAGCAATAAAAATATTTCCTTAGATGAATGTAATGAAATTAAAATAATAATAAAAAACAGATTACTATTAGGAGGCATCTTATTAATAATTGGTGGTGGTACAATCTTTTTATTGGGAGACGTAGTTACTATTATTAGTACACTAGAATATTTTCTTAATGTTTCTACTCAAATATTAAAAAAGATCGAAACTAATTATAATGCTACAGATTTGAAATATTAACCAACCAACCTACCTACCTACCTACCTACCTCTTTACCTCATAGTTTAAGTATAACCAAAAAATATAAGGCATATTTTCAGTAAGTAACTCTTTTTTATGAGATATTGGAACCAGAATAGGTTTTTTATCCCCATGATTTCTAAAGCTTCCCCTAGTATCTAATAGTACGAGTTTATTGGGTGCCGTTAACATTGTTGCTCCAAAATACCAACCTTCTTCTGCTCCTAATGGATTGAGAGTTGTTTTTCCATCACCCCATATAGTTTTATCATTTGAACCGAAAAGGTAATCATTGTGATATATTACAGGATGACCCCAAACTGCATTTGATAATCTTCGGTTATCAGTAATTTCATAAAAATGTTTTGCTTCAAAACCACGAGATACGGCTAAATTATAACTGGAAACAGGATATGTGGCATTTCGTCTCTTGTAATGGTTAACCATACCGATTTTATTGACAATGGGCCAATTATTTATATTTGGTCTAAGCCTTAATATTGGTTGTTTTTTATTAGGCTGAATATTACGATTCATCCAATCACACGAATGAACTTTGTCTATGGATGGTTGATCAATTAAAAATTGTTCCTTGTTGTTATTATCTAGAAATTGATAAAAAGGCGACTGGAGATGAGAGTAAGTATGAGTTTGTAAAGGTAAATCCTTGTTTTGTAGAGTATAATATGCTAAATCTACTCTGTGATAGGCTTCGTCGTTTCTTTGTCTAACTTTTAGACAAGCATTACTAATAATATTTTTATCCTTAAATAAGTATGTAAAGCCAGGAATATAAGCTTCAACATAACCTGCGTAATAATTACATAAACACCCATATTTGTCTACGTACTTGTTTAAAACATTCTTATTATTGATGTTTAATGCATCATAAATACATGGAGGACTAGTACCAAAGGGTAATTCATCTGTATAATATTCACTATTATTATTTATAGTCGTCGTTGTTGTTGTATTGGTGTTTGAAGAGACGTTAATGCAAGCCGGCTCATTTTCACTACCAATACTATCAATTGGTAATGCATCCAATGTTGAACATTCAACACACACTCCATCTTGGATAGGATGAAAAGTAGATATATCTACATTAAATGGGTCCTGAATAAATCCTACTTTTTTGCAGAAGTTTGTTTTTAGTAATTTATTTGTAGGTGTATCGCAATTTCTACCTCCAAAAAAACCTCTAGTTATACACTCGCAAGTAAATTGAAAACCATCCCAAACTAATTTACCAAGAGTTGGAGAACAAGTAGGTGGAGGTTGAGGTGGTAAACCGTTTTTGTCTTCAAATCTGTAACCTTCATAAACTAGGGAGATGGCGTGATTGGAAGTAGTAGTATTAGAGTTAGAGGGTTCTACTAAAATATTTCCATTTTTATCATAAACAATATTATTTATTGAAAAACAAAAAATATCTTTTTTATTTAATATGTTACAATCTGAGTGTTTATCATTTTGCTTTTCTTTTTCCGAATATGGATTCTGTAAGAAGAATAGAATATCATCAATTTTATTTGATGATTTAATATCATCATCATACCATTGCAGTTTTCTATTTGTATACGTATTATTAAATAATAATTTCTTTTGCCTGTCTATAAATTTATTACATAAAATAATAGGAATTAGAAAAATAATAAAAATAGTACACATATAATATAGAATCATAATTATTATATCTTTTTTATTATCATTTAAAAAAATGAAACATAGGTTATCCTCATTTCTTAACAAACAACAATTATATTCGTCGTCTCTTGTTAATGAATTAGATGATGGTGATGTACCTTCTTCGTCCCTAAACAAATTGACAACTAAAAATACAACAGATAATGGCGATCCAAGGACTGAAAACAATGATCTGACTAATTTATTTAATTTTACCGAGTTTTATGAAAATAATGACCATGAACATTTCCCTGTAATATTATGTTTCCCAATGTTTTTTATGTATGTTGTAATAGTTATTATAAATACATATGTTCATTTTTTATATATTGACAACCAGAATAATGATATCCATAGAGCTACTATGACTTTATTTTCTGGATTTTTCAATGGATTAGAAAATATAGTAAATATGATAGTCTACCATAAAACTTCAATGACGACCAATTATGAAGCTTTAAAATATATTAGATTAATTAAACCTTTGAAAATTCATAATATATTGTTAAAAGAAAGTTATAATATTTGTCAAAATTTAAAATCAAATAATGGGATGATTAATAACTATAAAGTCCATCATAATATATTTGCATTAGAAACGTATATGATACATAAATTATATATTAGAATTTATAGAAAGACTACATTATTCTAATTTAAAAATAAATAAAGTTAATAATACATCAGATTTAATAAATGTTTTAATAGCTAAAGAGGTTATAAACCCTTCCTATCGCGATTTTGTTTTTATGTCAACAACAGAAAAATTTCTTCCTAATTCTTTACAATATACTGTACAAAGTTTTCAATAAAATTAGAAAATTTACCTCCCTCACGAAGAGGGCCACGTGAATGGGGTTCATTTTATTGGCGAATTTGTCACGCTATTAGCGATCCTGTTCCTAAAAATATTGGAATTAAAGGAAAGAAAAATACACGGTGGCGGCAAAAAAAAATGAAATTAATTCAAAATAGTTTTTTAAGTATTTTACCAATAATTTTACCATGTAAATCCTGTCAAATACACTATTTAACAAATATTAAACCTCATACATATCCAGAAACTTTAGATAATGTTAAATAAATTTATAATAATATTCATTCTAAAGTAACGAATGGTATCAGTTAGAACACACTTCCTCTATCAATGTGATTGTGAATAAATTACCCCCTACTCAGTTTTCCCATTGGTTTCTATTTTAACTTTGGTGTGATATGCTCTCTGGGGAAAAAGTATGAGTTCTTTCTATATATAAATATGAACGAACGAATGAACTTTTCATACTTCCCTGTTGGGCGCTGTAACTCTTCTGCAAGATGTAAGGGGAGTGCCCAATAAACTAGCCCCCTCGGGGGCAAATCTGAATTTGACAGCCCAACACAACTAAATTGACCTTTTTTTTCAGTTACTCTTTCATATCGTATTTATGGGAATCAAGTACGAAGAAGAAGAAGAAAAAAAAAGGAGGAAGACTAGGATTAAAAAAAAAATACAAACTTGGTAGTTGTGCTACTAACTGGTGTAAACACAGTACCAAGAACAAGTACGGTATTTTTTTTTTAAAACACCCTTACACCTTTATCCAGCTGAACAAGTACAGAACAGCTGAGCGGAGAAAAATACAAAAAATCACAAAATAAGGTTGGTAATTAGTTATAAATCACTTTCACTTTCTATACTAATATCACCACTTACTTCTGAAGACATTGTTTCATTTAATATCTTATTTCCTATAATGTTATCAATTTGTGTTAGTGCTTCATTTATCTTAGTTTGTAGCCATTTTTCATAATCGGATATATTTTTAAGTTTCTCTCTTTGTTGTGAAGCTAACAGTTCTTTATTAACATTATGATGTTGTTGAAGATTGCTTAATTCATTAATATATAAATTAATGTTATTTTTATAATAGTCATGTAATGATGTTATAACATTTTCAGTGTCTTTTCTGTTTGAAATAATTAAATTTTCATATTCATATTGTAAATTATTTTTTTCTAATTCAAATTGTTCAGAAAAATTTCTAGATTTGTGTTTGTAGTTGTTTATAGATGTGCATAATTTATGAATAATTTGTAACATACAAATCCATAAATCATTCATATCATACAGATTAGAATTTCTTATATATAATATTATTTTTTCAATACATTCCACTGCTAATTCATAATTATTAGTCTCTTCATTAATTTCTTTAATAAAATTTAACAATTTATACAATAGAGGATATAAATGTTCTTGATAGTTAAAATTTGTTAAAGACGTTTTTATAAATTCAGTAAATACATTGTAGGGGTATCGAGATATAATGTTGTCTAGCACTCAGGATGGAAGGAAACTCTAATGTGGTTTTCTTGTATAATATATAAGTTATATGATAGACAGTCTGGTGCTGGAGGTGCCGTGTGGTGAGGGGCTGCTCAGTAGAAGCGTTCGGTGAGTAGGTGAGTAGCGTGTTGTAGGAGGTAGATGTGCAGGAGCTTCGTTAGAGAAGATGTTGCCTGTTGCTGGCCTCCTGGTTGAATAAATGCTAACAGCGTGGAGCTTGCTGGAGGAGGTGTTGCTTGTTCAGGAAGATGGGCAGAATGAGAGGTGGTTGGTGAGGAAGCTCAGAGAAAGACAGCTGGTGGGTCGCCATGCTCACTGGCGGGAGGAGGACCGCCAGGCAGGCGAGGAGAAGCGAAGGCAGTCAGGCAGCGACGGAGCGGAATCTTCTGAGCTTTGTAAGTTGTGATTTTGCCATAGCTATTCTTTCATTGATGTGGGGGATTATTCCGTTTCTGGTTATCTTGAGTCCTAATATTTTTCCGTTGGCAGCATATGGTATTTGTTGGTTGTTGACAATAATAGGGTAGGGGTTTGTTTTTGCGATGTGGATTATTTTGAGTTTTTGGACATTGGTTTTTATCTTCCATTTTCGTTCATAGTTATTAATTATCTCTATTTCTCTGCTTGTTCTAATGGCTATCATTTGTTTGGATTTTCCTGGGTACCTGACTATCTGTGTGACATCATCTGCGTATGTTATATATTCTGATTGCCGTGGTTGCGGCATGTCTGCCGTGTATACAGTGTATAATGTCGGCGATATATTACTGCCTTGGGGAACTCCACTATGAAGGTTGAAAGTTTGTCCTAGATGGTTGTCGATGATTAATTTGGCCTTTCTGTTGTCTAAGAAATTGCATAGTAGTGTTGTGATATTGGTAGGCATGTCCAATTTGATTATTTTCAACTTCAGTCCTTCATGCCAGACTTTATCAAATTCTTTTGACACATCTCTTAGAATTATATTGCATTGGTCTCTGTTGCTTGCAGCATTTGCAATTGATTCGTATATTAGTGCTATTGCTGTGTTGGTTCCTCGATTTTTTCGAAAGCCGTGCTGTCTCGGGTTATATTTGTTTTCTTGGTCTAGAAAATTTCTGAGTCTGTGGTTGACTATTTTTTCCAATATTTTACCGGGTGTTTCCAGTAGTGAGATAGGTCTGTAGTTCTCTGCTTGGGTATGGTTCTTTCCTGCTTTCGGGATGAGTCTGATTTTGGCTATTTTAAATTTGGTAGGGAAGAAGCCAGTTGCAAGTGAGGCATTGTATATATTTTTAAGCTGTTCGATCATAGACTGAGGAATGTTTTGTAGTACGATTTTATTAATTTGGCTCATGCCAGGTGCTTTATTCTTGAAGCTTGCTATTGTTTTTACAATATCATTTTGAGTTAATGGAGCAATTATTGGGTTATTGATGTTTAATGAATTGAGGTTGATTTTCCTGGTAGGTTTCCATTTCTCTGTGTTCTGGCTCAAATATGTTCTAGTTGCCTGTTCTGTTTCCTGGCAGAAGCTTCTATTGTCTTCGTCGTTGATTCTGAATATGTCTTTCCAGTATTCTCTAAATATTGGTTCTTTATCGTGTGGTTCTGTTGCATTTCTAACGTTTTTGTCCTTTATGTAGCTAGTTTCTTCCGAATTTGTTCCCATTAGGTTTTTTATTTTTTTCCAGAATGCTTTTGGATTTCTGTAATCTGCTTGTGTATCATGGATCAGCTTCTTCCATGTTTCATTGTGTTCGTTCTTGCTTATGTCTTTCAGTTCTTCTTTTAGATTCCTGTATAATATTCTGTTGTCATTGCTCCACCCGTGTGTTTTTGTGTATTCATATAGATTGGTGAATCTAGTTTGGATCATTTTCTCTTCATATGTTAATTGTGCATGTGGTAATGTACGGTATGTTGTTTTTGGGATGTTGTTTTTCATTGCTGTTGTTACTTCATTGTACCATGTATCCAGTGATTTGTCAATCTCTGTTGTGTAGGAGTGTTGGTTCGTTGTTGCTAAGATCCGATTTAAATTTTTCCCAATTTGCTCTATTGAGTGAAAATCTTGGGATTGATGGAATTTGTATCGGGGATGTGGATAAAGTTGCTATTATGGGTAGATGATCACTGGTTGTTGTGGGTCCAGCTTTTAGATGTACGTTTAGATGGTGATGCCTATTGGTTAAAACAATGTCAGGTTTCCCAGAGTTACCGGCTGATACGTAAGTTGCGAAGTCGGGCCCGAGGTGTGTTATTGTCCCGTGTTCGATGAGAGCATGGAGGATTATTCCTCCCGGGTTTCTAATATTGTTTCCTAAGGTTGTGTGTTTAGCATTGAGGTCTCCTATGAAGTATGGTGGATTGTTTTGCCTCATTAGTTTTAAAATGTCCCCTGTAGGGAATATTGGCCTTCTGAATGTTAAATATGAAGTCCCGATAGTTATTGGGCCTCTTGTTGTATTTACTTCGGCTGCAAGAAAGTTACTTTGAAAGTTGTCAATGATTTTGTATTGTATGTTGCGTTTTAAAGCTATTGCTATGCCGTCATGTGGTTCGTCGTGTATGCTCATTTGATGTACATGGTAGTTAAAGATCTTGATTTTGTCACTTTTTTTCCGACCATGTGCGTTGATAAGGATGATGTCTGGGTCTATTGTGCTGTATATGTTGGTGAGTTCTGATTTCCTCGTCAGATTCCAGGCAAGGACGTTGTGCTGAATTATCTTTAATAATTTGTTTTGAGTAGTCGTGGATCCCAAGAACTTGGTGTAGGGTGTTTGCTGGCTCGTGTATCTCCTAGCGAGTGTCTACTCCTTTCCTCCTTCAATCCCGTTCTGATTTTCTTAAATTTAGTTATATCTACTCTTTCAATTCTATTGTATTTGGTGTTTATAAGTCCTGCATTTATCAATTGGTCTATATAGGATTCTTCTACCCTATCATCTTCGTAGGTGAATTTTACTGTGCCTTCCTTGATTTCCTGCAGAAGTCTGTCATTTGTTATTGTAGGTGGTGTGTTGACTGAGTAGAAGCGGATGCCGATCTCATTGCCTAGGTCTGCTGGCTGCACATCGCTTGGTGAAGATGGGGGGGCACGATGGCCAGAGTGGGATTCTTTTTTTGATTTCGCTTTGGTTGGTGGTGGTTTCTCTGTTTGCTGAGTTGTGGAATCTGATGATTTGCGGTGTGGTGTGACTGCTTGGGTGATAGGGTCTATTTCCATGACGTTTTCTTCTGTGCCTAGTTTGGTTATGTGCTCCTGTGGTTTAGTTACTCCCAGGCTACTCTCGGTGACAATTTTAAATATTTCTGTTGAGGGGGCGTCGTCTGGAAATTTCACCTCCGGCAGATTGTTTGCAGCAAACATTTCCCTGATCGTTTTTCCGAAGGTTCCTGGTTTTGCAATGTTGTTGATGTGTGCATGTATAATACTGGTTAGAATTGTGAAAGGTAATCCTTCACTCAGATTGAGGTATGTCGGTTGCATGAGGGGATTTTCTTTGGCTTTCTTCAGGACTTTGGAGGTGGTATCTTGCAGCTTTGCAATTGCTGCATATGTCTTGTTAGGGTCTGTTTCAATCTTCTTATTTGTCTTTTCTTTTTCTCTCAGATTTCTGATTATTTCTTTCCTTATGGGACAGCGTGCTGCTAGTGTTCGGTGGTCCCCATTGCAGTTCAGGCATTTGGGGTTATCTTTATTGCTGCATTCTCTGAATGTATGGACCTCTGCTGCACATTCGGAGCAGAACTTCTTATCTTTTAGTGGACAGTTTAAGGCTAGATGATTGTATTTATAACAGTTCCAACACGGTGTTATTGCATAAAATTCCTCCTGCTCAATTTGTTCTGTCAGATGGTAGTGGGAGATACAGAGGCCACTCTCTAGGGCTTTTTGTGCCATGGAGATCTCTCCAAACCTGACCTTCATCATGGTGGGAGCACCAGGCATTAGCACCACCTCCTCAACTCTGGCCCATGGGTTCTTCTCTTCTATATTGTTAGCAATACAGCTTGGTGTTTGTTTCAGCATATTTTTGTCTACCCTTTTAATTACTACGGATTTTTTTGCACGTAGTTGTGGTGGTATTACTATTTCGAATCCTCTTTCTTTTAATTTCTCTGTTGAGTCGGCAGAGA